GCGACGGCGCGACGAGCTGGATGCGGCGCGATGCTTGCGCGATCGAAGGCAGAGGGAGGCCGGGTCTGCTCGTGCCGCGCGATCTGATCCAGGGAGCTGGTGGAGTCGCGGCGACGTGAGCGGCTGGATGTGGCGCGCGGAGGAGTCCGATTGAGCTGGAGTGTCGCGCGGGCTGTTACAGCTCGCTGCTACAGCTCTGTCTCGCCAAGGACGCAGATGCAGTGAAGGGAAAAGGAAAGAAAGAAAGAAAGGAAGAAGAAGAAGAAGAAGAAAGGAGAAGAAGAAAAAGAAGAAGAAGAGAGGAGAGGATGGCGGTGGCGCTGGTGGTGCTACGCGGTGGTCGAAGGCGTAGGAAAAAATGGGTGAGGAAAGTGAGGCATGCGCTAGAAATAGAGGAAGAAGAGAATTCTAGATGGTCTGGGTCAAACCGGTTCGATTCGATTCGGTTCGGCCCAAATCTTTGATTTTTCAATTGGTTTACGGCTTTTTCAATCGGTTTTCGGTTCGGTTTCTCACAGTGTTCGAACTAAAATATTAATATGAATTTCCAGGCTGTCGGTTCATTAAATTTAATTTAAATTTAATTGGAAAATGTTTTTGAAAATAAAAAATTCGGGGGTTTGTTTCACTTAGCCTTTTTTTTTTTTTTTTAATTGAAGAGCCAATTATCAATTTCCTTCTTTGAAGTTCAAGTTTTTCCTACGAAGGATAGTTTGTACTTTGTAAAGCATATGTAGTACTTTTTTTTTTTTTTTTTAATGAAGAGCCAATTATCAATTTCCTTCTTTGAAGTTCAAGTTTTTCTACGAAAGGATAGTTTGTACTTTGTAAAGCATTGTAGTACTTGAATTATCTGGAAATAAAATGTGGACATTTAAAGCTAATGCTCCAAATCCTTTGGATTCTCAAGAACTCAGAGGTAGACTTTCACTTCAATCCAATTTAACATGTCATATCTATTAAATGTCATCTAACATTTTCAAGCTACAACCTTAGCAATATAGATTATCAAGTATACACCATCGTGGATCTTCAGAAATAGCCACCGAAAACACCTACTAACTTGGATTTAGTACTCCAATTTAATGCATTCTATTGAACTCTTGTGAGCACTATATATTGAACATATTCTTCATAATTTCAAATTTTAAAATCATGAAATTGGAAAATTTGGTTTAAACCATTTATCAAAAGAAAATTCTAAAGTCAATGTTAGTTGGGATGGAGTGGTCGGGACTCCTTTCCCTTAACCAAATATCTCGGATTTAAATCTTGGATACGAAAATTTTACTCTAAGAGAACGGTCAGTAATACCCGAGTTGAAGGTAGTATAAATTTGGGACATACTAGAAATAAAAAAATTAAGATAGAATGAAGTGAAATTACACAAGGAAAGGCATCACTTCTCATATAGAAAGGAATGGGTATCTTAACTACATGTCTTTAATCGTCCCTACAAACAATTTAAGTGAAATTACAAATATTCGTGACTAATTTTGATGAGAGAGATATATATCCTCTCTAAAATAAGTGGCCCCCTTTCTTCTCCTATTTCGCAAAAATTATATTCGTTCATGAGTCTCTTGCTTTGCATTTAAAGTTTAAACCTTCTCTTCTTTCTTTCGCCATCTTCCCTCTCTTTTCTCTTCTCTCCCTCTGTCTCTTCACGCATCAGAAATCAACAATCAAGAAACCAACTCCAACTCCTTCTATATCTTATTCTCCTCCTGCAACTCCAACGCCAACTCTAATCATCAAGAGCGCCACTATGTCTCGCTGTAGCTATCTTTTAATAATCTTGATTTTACTCTTTTTCTTGGTTGCATCATCATCAACTACTAGACTTCAAAACCCTAATTCAAGAAACCACCAGTATCGCTACCCTTTGAACCGTCGTGAACCTCCCTCTTGTAGTTCTTTCCCTCACAAGAATTCTCGTTCTTTATGCATTCATTTCCATAGAATGAACCCACAGCGACGTCTAAATCCATCGCCGCCGCCACCGCCACCGGCGAGTGAGATTGATCCAAGATACGGCGTGGAGACGAGACTAGTACCTTCTGGGCCAAACCCACTCCATAATTGAAGACTCTTTCTCTCTCTTTAGTATTAATTTAAACCAGTACTGTCAATACCATCTTTTTTGTCTCCTACAAAGTAGAACAACTAAATTTAGCCAATCTTGGTTGTTTTTGGGCCGAAAGGTTCTTGTTTCTTGAATCTTGATAAATTTCTTGGTATTTTACTATCGTTTACGTACGTTGCCCTAGTCATGCTTTCTTCAGCATATCAGCAATGGAAGGATAAATCTTTTCAAAAGATTAGTCTTTTTTTTCTATTATTTTTACAGTTCCCATGTAGTTACAAGCCAGAAATCAAGAAATTACCATTTCCATGCTTGTTTATGATCATATGTTACACTTTTTAGGTCATCGATGACGTGAGAGAGATCGAAAGAGTAGAGTTTCTTGTAAAAACGAAACTGAAGCATCATAAACAATCACGGAAATGGTATGGTTTTGTAGATGGTGGGGTTTGATTTCGGTGGAGGCAGAGTACTTCAAGAGAAACACATGAGTTTCATTAATTTGGAGCCCGCTTAAGGAAAGTAAAGATGGAAAATAGCAGCACAAGAGTTTAAGATTTCATCAGAGGGCAAAATGGTCTCCTAGCAGTACCTTGTGGAGTTGTGGTGGTGGGTCTGAAATTTATTATATTGATGTATAGCTTATTAATTAGGTTGTGCTAAAATTCTAAATATAAAGATTTATTTCTTTTTATTTCTCTGTCTCTTTTCCTTACATAATTGATTTTATTTTGGAGAATTATTAATTTATTCTACATATTTATATATTTTATTTTTCAATTGATGCTCAGACAAAATATTATTTACGATGATGACTCTAAATTTCATATGTATGGCTTGATGAAAATTAAAAAATAAAAATAAGAAGTTAATACCTTTTCTAGGTGAAGAGAAGCTGTTAACATGACACACCACCAGCAGTACTCCGAAAATTGTTAAGGAATGCTTAATTTGCAAAAAGAAATCAAGAAGTAGTTTCTTAGCTAGTATGGTTTCACATCATAATGAATCTTAATTATGCATTATTAATCTTAATCTTTGGTGTTTAACCAAGATTTTTATTGGGCACGTATAATTAATAACTTTAAACAAATCAATCAAATTATATATTTTTTTTATTTTTTACTATTAAACATGCAATTGAAAAACAAAAGAATAATAAATTAACATCATTTCTGAAATTCTCAAATCTATACGAGATGAGAACTCTCATGCTCAATAATACTAATTACCTACCTTATTGAATTAAAAATATGCTTTATTTAAACTTTAATATATGCATTCAATTTAATATTATAAGTTCAGGAGTGTTATTCAAATAAAAAAATCCCTCTAAATAGTATTTAAGTAAAATTTTTCTAATAAGGACAATTAACAGATTCGGAATTATTTATGTGATCGCTAATAATAAGATATATTTGTGCTTCCATGCGCTAAAATTCTTTACATATTTGAATCCTATGATTCCATGTTCCCATTCTCTTTACATTTGTATGCATTATAGTTTAACTACCTCTCATTTTCCTAGTAGAACTAAAAATAATTGCAAATGTTAAGTTTAAAATTCAAAAGTTAATGATAAAAGAAAAAAGAAAAAATGTAATTATAGAAATTAAATTAAATCTCTTTAGTTGATTAATAATAGTACTAATATTCAGCAAGTCAACTATAATTAAGTTGGGCAACATCCAGCAGGAATTGTTGAATTCAAAGATAAGAAATGCCACAATGCATGCCAATAGTCCATAGAAATGACAACTACCACCTTCCAAACATTAATTGAATTTTTTTAATTAATTTAGTTGAACTTAGATTTCGTTTAATCACAATATCAATTTATTCGATAACTACATTATATTTTATTATAATTCATTAAATAAAATATTTGATTGACATAATTATAATTCATGGGTCAAGGTGTCAAAATGAACCGTACACGCAAAGATAATTCGCCTAATATAGAAATTAAACGGGTTAGGGTTGAGTCTAAATGAGTTTATATCATAAATGATACCAGTTGACTCGTCTAATCAGTCGAATCCATTTATTTAAGGATAAAAATGTAATTATATATATTAAATAGGTCAAACGAGTTATACGTATTATATGTGTCATGGTCTGATCCATATCGGACTCATTTAATAAAATTTGATTGAATTTGTTTATTCATATATGACTCGTTTAATTACACGATTACACATATCAGTTTGTGTTACTTATTCAATTTTTGTTTAGTGTTCATATTTAAAAATTTAACATGATTATTAAATATATTATATTCATGTTGACCTAATCATGACGTGTGTTAAATAAGTTAACTTCGAACTCAACATGCCAACTTATTTTGACACCCTTGCTAGGGGTAATGCAATAAGTTATGACCCACCCAACATATTTTAACCAAATAACTGATTTTTTTTTTTAGTAATGAATTGAACAAAAGTTTAATAAATCAAATCCAAATGAAAAGATTTGGTTAATTAAAAAATAGAAAGCAAGAGAAAAATTTTTTAAAAAAATTATTCAGCAAATTAAATTAATTTAAAAATTAAAACATAAAAAATGAAATAGTTTCACTAGTTCAGTTCCATTAAATTGAAATATTCATTAAAAACCAAATCGAAATAATTGAAATTTCTAAATTGAAAACTAAATTGTATCGAACAAACCAAAATATCATACAGAAATCAAGTTAAATCAATTCGATTTGATTTTTCTGTTATTGACCGATTTGTGCTCCTCCTAGGACCCCAATCGCTCCGTTCATATTAGCAAACGTTAACTCAAATTAACACTCTCTTGCTGCATAACAAGGCAGTTAATTACTTAATTCGGTATTATGACATGTCCAAGTCCAAAACGCGTCGTTTTGCTCGTCTTTGAGACATGTCTATAGTTATATTTTTTAAAAAATAATAATAGTAATTAAAAAATCCACCGACGACGCAAGCTTCCTTTTCCGCGTTCGCTGAAAATGAAGAACTGAAAAACAAACACAATCACTACTTCCAGTCGGTTCTGAGCCTCCAAAACATGGCGAATCTCTCAAATTCAGTGTTTCTGATCCTAATTTTCTCTCTGCAACTCAATTTTGCTCTCTCCAAAACCCTAAAACGCGACGGTAGATCTCCAGATCTCTCTTTCTCTTGATTACTTTACCATTAATGTAGAGTTACTCCAACAATTGAATTGATTTTCTTCTCCTTGTTCTTCTTCAGTGAAGGCTTTGAATGAGATTAAGGCATCGCTTGGATGGCGAGTGGTATACGCTTGGGTCGGCGACGATCCTTGTGGTGATGGTGATCTGCCGCCGTGGTCTGGCGTTACTTGCTCTACTCAAGGAGATTATAGAGTCGTCACTGATTTGTAAAATTATTGATTGCCAACTCTTCAAATTTTGAAATGCTGATGGAAATGGGGGAAATTTTTTAACGTTTATTGCTTGCAGGGAAGTGTATGCTGTATCAATTGTGGGGCCGTTTCCTACTGCTGTTACTAATCTGTTGGATCTAACTAGACTGTACGATTTGCTTCAATTTATTTTTTCTTTTTCCTTTGAATTTTGTTCTGTTTACTCTGGTTAGCAATTTATATGAATGTTACTGTAAAACAGGGATCTCCATAACAACAAATTGACGGGGCCTATTCCTCCCCAAATTGGGCGGTTGAAGCGTCTTAAGATACTGTAAGCTTCATATTAGCTTTCTTTCTGCTTAAATTTTTTTAGCTTTTAGAGTAATTTGGTTTAGTTGCAAAAATTTTTTTATTCATTATCTTGTGTATTTTCCTTTTTCTTTCTTTCTTTCTTTTTTTTTTTTTTTTACGTTCCTGCTTAAATTTTTTTAGCCTTTTAGAAGTAATTTGGTTTTAGTTGCGAAAAATTTTTTTTTTATTCATTATTTGTTGTATTTTCCTTTTCTTTCTTTCTTTCTTTTTTTTTTTTTTTTTAACGTCGCCCTCCTTAGTAATTTGAGGTGGAACACAGCCTACAAGATGCCATTCTTCCTGCAAATTGGTGAACTCAAGAGTCTTTCTAACCCATCTGTGAGTAATTGGATTCTTTCCTTTTTTTTTTTTTTTTACGTCGCCCTCTTAGTAATTTGAGGTGGAACAAGCTACAAGATGCCATTCCTCCTGAAATTGGTGAACTCAAGAGTCTAACCCATCTGTGAGTAAATTGGATCTTCCTCCAATAATTTGACTTTGGTACTTGGTGTACTTTTCCTTTCATTAACGTTTATTCTGGTTAAAGTTAAGAATTGAACTTTTGTAGATATCTGAGCTTCAATAATTTCAAAGGAGAAATCCCTAAGGAGCTTGCTAATCTTCCTGAGCTCCGATATCTTTATCTACATGAAAATCGCTTCTCTGGGCGAATTCCTGCGGAGTTGGGGATGCTGCAAAATCTTCGGCACTTGTAACATTCTTTGCTCTCCTTAGAATATATTTTTTTTTGTGGAGTAATGGTTAGCATTACAGTTTAATGTGTCTCATTGTGAAATCATATTTGTAGGGATGTTGGCAACAATCATTTGGTGGGCACTATAAGGGAATTAATACGTTTTGAGGGTTGCTTCCCCGCACTTCGCAACCTGTAAGTTCATGGTTTGCCAAATTTACAATCATTTTCCTGATATTTTTCTGTTGAATGCCATCTGCTAATTGAAGTAAATCCTTTCTGAATGTAGTTATCTAAATAATAATTACCTCACTGGAGGAGTTCCTGCACAACTTGCAAACTTGACTAATCTAGAAATATTGTAAGTTTTGTTCATTTTCATCATTATTATTATTATCTTTCTACATTCTTTTGAAGCATTTCCATCGATTGGATTGGTATTAGTGCTTTTTTCCTTTTTATTTTTGTACTGGGGCTACACTTGAGAATAGTTTTCTGGCTGGATTTCAATTGTTTCATACCTCGAGATTTGTGCAATTGATATTGATTGATTTACTGGTCACAGGCATCTATCTTATAACAAAATGTCCGGAATAATACCTGCTGGAGTTGCTCATATCCCTAGATTGACTCACTTGTAAGCTCCTTTTTGGACTCTTGCTGTTTCTACGTTGTTGTGTGTGTGTTTTTTCTTGGAAGGATGTGGCTTTTTCAATAGCAATTCACATCACTCTATATTGACTTGCTGAATGATGTTATTTTTGGCTGACAAAAAGACAGAAGGGATTGATTCATGAATTTAACATACTGCTACAGATTTGTGAAGGAAAAAAAAGCATAATACCAACAAATTTACCTTATATTTTGCAACTTATTCAATCAAAGTTTTAAGATAAGCCTCTCTTGCTCATCGCTCTGGATTCTCGATTATAGACCTAACTCAGGGACATTTGATCACAAATAAATATGCACACCTTAAATAGATGAGAATTTATTTCCCAGGGTTGTGAGAATCTCTATTTTGGCATGCCTATTCTTGTATTCATAGGTATTGTTGTATGGTCATATAGCCTCACTACACTCTTTTTTTAAGTTACCGAAAATGACCAAGGTTTAAATTCTTTGTTTTCTCCTTTTTAGCTGCATATGCATGGTTGTTTTAGCAACAAAAGAGGAAATGCACTTGGGAAAATATAAGAAATGCATTGTCCACTTACTTTTGAATGATACAATATTTCTTACACAGATATATGTTTTTAAGCTAACTTTGATTGTATTCCAGCTACTTGGACCATAATCAATTTTCTGGGAGAATTCCTGATGCCTTCTACAAACATCAGTACTTGAAAGAAATGTGGGTTTCTTTCTCCATATCAGACCTATGAACTTAACAATTCAAAAACTTTGTTATGATTGCTATTTTGTAATTGATTGATTGATTGATTTCCATCTGCAGGTACATCGAAGGAAATGCATTCAAACCTGGTGTAAACCCAATAGGTGTCCATAAAGTCCTTGAAGTTTCTGATGCAGATTTCTTAGTTTAGTTGATAACATATTCTTTAATTGTCTGGATACTGTGATTATATTTGTCATTGTTAGGCGATTTACGCGTTATTTAATGAAAATGGGAAAATCCCTTGTAGCTCTCTGCAAAAGTTTTGCCAAATAGTGGATTTAGCTTCTCACCATATCTTCTTTTAAAAAAAGTCAAAGCGACGTATTATATAAAGCTCAAAAAGCCCCTCATAGGTGTAAAAGAAGTATAAAAGTGTGCTACGAGTTACCCAGGAAGAAACAAGATCCAATCATGGTGGTTCTGCCAGACTTTGGTTTTAGGTTGCTTTTTGACAAGTTACTGTGTTGCCATGTATTTGGTTATATGTAGTTTTACTATAACATTTAAAGGAGTTAATGTTGTGCTTAATGTATTTGATCTGAAATCAAGAATTTTAAAACATGAAGTATATTTGGAATTCATCAGATATATGTACCATTAGATAGGTTTTTTTACAAGGCAGCGCTATAATTTAAGTAGACTTCATATTTACGTCAGGGAGGGGATCGGGCCTAAAACTTAGTGGTCCTAGGGCATCAGCTTGTGCTGCTAGGTTAAGTATCATTTATGTAATTCATCATCTTTAAATTTTTAAAATTTATAAAATTAAAGATGGAGTTCATTCAAATCTGAATTCATAATTATTTTATAAAATGAGCTATACCTTGTAAGAGGAGATACTGAAAAAATAATGCATTTCAAACAGCATGCCCTGAGGATACAAACAGTAAACAGTCGCGAGCAAGTATGTCGTGTCCATTCATCCAGGAAAAAGAGAGGGGTTACACTCCAAATTGTTCAATTGTTTATGTATCTTCTCTAAAATAGATTCTATTTCTTCAATTTGTTTGTCCGACTTCTCTCCTGCAACAAACTCATGAACAATGCCATTAATTTTGATCAAACTGCAACCAGGCACCTTATCCACGCCCCTATTTCTCATCATTTTCTTTATTCTTTTGGCATGATCATGCTTCCCAGTAGCTGCATACAGATTTGAGAGCAGAACATATGCTCCGCTGTGAAGTTCTAACTGCATGAGTCTCTCAGCTGCAAGCTCAGCCAGTTGGGCTTGTCCCTGATCGCAACAAGCACTGAGTAAAGCTCTCCAAGCTACTGCTTCTTGAGAAGAACTGCTTGAAGTAGGCATTCTTTGGATTATATCTTTTGCTTCCTGAAGGAGGCCTGCTCTACTAACAACATCAACTATACACGCATAATGTTCACTCTTAGGCCCAATGTTATACACATTACACATTCTATCTAATAATCTTAAGCCTTCCTCTGCCATGCCAGAATAACTACAAGCAGACAAAATTGCTATGAATGTGACATCATCTGGCCTACACCCTGCCTTCTCCATCTCCATAAACAGCTTCAGCGCACCGTCTCCATCTCCATGCATTGCCAAACCAGAAATCATGGCATTCCAACAAACTGTGTCTCTTTGAGGCATTTCATCAAACATTTTCTTAGCTAAATCCAAATTCCCACATTTTGCGTACATATCAATAAGACTTGTCTTCAACCGGATACTTAATGGCAATCCTAACCTATCTAAATATCTATGAATCCAAATCCCAGTATCCAAAGCGCCTAATTGAGCGCAGGCACAAAGAGTACTTAAAAATATAACTTCATCAGGTATAATATCAGCCGATTGCATTAACCTAAACATATATAAACACTCTTTGAAGCAATTATTTTGCACATACCCAGAAATCATGGCACCCCAAATTCCTATATCCTTATCTGATGCTCTATCAAAGGATAATCTAGCAGATTCAATATCACCCACTTTAGCATAACCAGAAATCATCAATGTCCATGATACAGAACATGGACTACGAATTTCATCAAACATGTAACTTGCACTTCTCATATCCCTAAACCCACAATACATCAATAGCAAAGAATTAGCCACTATTATATTAACCAAAAAACCCAATTTTAAACTATACCCATGTACTAATTCACCGAAAAAACAAGATTGCAACTTTGAACAAGCTTTTAACACATAAGGCAAGGTATAAGTATCGGGAGACCTACCATTTTGGAGCACGGTAGAGCATAAATTTAAAACATTAGTAAATTCACCTTTGAGCAGAAAAGCTTTCATCATGGTGTTGTATATGCAAATGGTGGGTCGTTGAATGTGTCGAAAGATTTTCAATGCATGGTTAAGGCTTCCATGAGATGGGTCTGCACAGAATGCTAACAGTCTACTTAAAGCAAAGGAATTGTTGCCAAGGCCACATGTGATTGACTGTCCATGGGCTTGCTTCAGTTGATTCATGCTCTTGCATTTCTCCAAAAGTAGGAGGCATCTTTTACTGATGCTGGCAGCTGCTTGCATAAGTTCACGGGCGTGTTATGTTTGATTTGCAGGAAAAAATTAACTTTGTGAAAGTCTATTGGGTACTTTGGGTTGTTTTTCTCAGTGAAACTTTTCTATATTGCACATTGTAAAGGTTGATTTTGCAATTGCAGTCATCTCCGTTTTACTGTTAATTATTAAGTTCTTTTGTTCTTTTCTATCTGTTGTATGGGTTCTATTGAGATAGCCATATATATATATATATATATATAAAATTTAATTACATGACTATCTATCTACGTAATACATAACTATCCACATATTAATTATCTAGTCCTACTAATATTCCATATATATATATATATATATAAAATTTAATTACATGACTATCTATCTACGTAATACATAACTATCCACATATTAATTATCTAGTCCTACTAATATTCCATAAAAAATCTTAAAATGTCGATATTCAATGACCAGACTTCTCATCTTCTCAATTTTTTCATTTACCAATAAGGAAAATTTCACCTACCCTTTAATTAATATTAATATTTAATATTTAATATTTAATATTTAATTTAAAACTTAATAAGTTAAGATAATCCAAAATACTAGCATTAATTTGTTCTAAGTGAAAATATTAACACAACTCTTATAAGATAACTCTGTTTTTGTGCTGACTTGTTAGTAGATTTGAAAGAGTTGTAGTTTTGTTAAGATTTGTCATTAGGAGATATTCAGATAAAGATTGAGATATCGTTGCTTTAGAAACTTCTGTTGTGATCATAAAAAAATTACTATATATACAGCCACATTCTTTGAATTTTATCAACACATTTCTTCCATCAAATCAATGGCTAAACTTAGATTTTTCACTACCATTTTCGTTTTTCTTCTATCTTCTTTCTGCTCTTTTGCTGAAGTAGATGATGTGGAAGTTAGTGTGATGGGAGTAACCTCCATTGCCAGAACAGATGATACTTTTGTATGTGCTACTTTAGATTGGTGGCCAAGTACAAAATGCAATTATCAACAATGTCCATGGGGAAAAGCTGGTCTTTTAAATTTGGATTTGAAAAACAAAATTTTGATTAATGCTCTAAAGGGTAAGTTATATATTTTTTTAACCTTCTACTGGTTTTATTTTGTTCAAAAAAATTCTGATTTTTAGTTTAAAAATTTTCAGCATTTGGCGATTTGAGAATTAGAATTGGAGGGTCATTACAAGATCAAGTTGTTTATAAAGTTGGACATGCTGTGAAGAAATTTCCTCACTTTAAAAGAGATGATAAAGGCTTGTTTGGATTCACTAAAGGAAATCTTCCTATGGATAGATGGGATCAAATTAATAGATTGTTCAACCAAACAGGGTACTCATCATACAATTTTTTTTCTTTCTTTTTAATTTTTTATGTTCTTTTTATATAATTCCCTTTTTTTTTTCAGTGTTAAACACACATTTGGCTTGAATGCTCTCTTTGGAAAGAAGAAATCCAACGATTCAGAACTATATTTGGGGAATTGGAATCCAAGAAATGCTGCTGATCTTATGAAATATACCATTTCCAAGGGATACAAGATTGATTCTTATGAACTAGGTAATTTTCATGATTTTAAGCTGTAAGGGTGAGAACACAAGTTTGAATCCTAGAAGCTCACTTAGCTGTTCGGAATCCACAAACCATTCCGACGTGCTCTGCAAGTTTTAATCACTCCATTTTCATATTTTTTTTGTGATTATGTAAATTTCAGGAAATGAGCTTTGCTCTTCTGGAGTATCAGCAAGAATTGATGCTGTTCAGTACAGTAAAGATATAATCACATTAAGAAAGTTAGTAAACAAGCTTTATCCAAATCCTGATGAAAGACCAGGAGTATTAGGACCAGCTGGATTTTATGATGAGAAATGGTTCAATACATTTCTTCAAGAAACTGGACCCAATGTTGTTGATGGATTAACCCACCATATTTACAATCTTGGTCCAGGTAATAAACATAATACTTCTGTTTCTTCACTTTTTACTTATTCTTCACTTTCTTTTTTTTTTTTTTTTTTTTTTTTTCTTCACTTTCTTTTTTTTTTTTTTTTTTTTTTTTTAATATTGATGAATATGCAATGCAGGTGATGATAAAGACCTAATTAATAAGATTCAGGATCCTTATTTCTTGAATGAAATAGCACAAACACATAAAGACATTTCAAATAGTGTGAAGCAATTTGGTCCATGGTCAGGAGCTTGGGTTGGGGAAGCTGGTGGTGCTTATAATAGTGGAGGCAAAGATGTTTCACATTACTTTGTCAATGGATTTTGGTTAGAACCCTAATTTATTAAATTACTTCTTTTAATAGTTCTTTTTTAAAATAAAAAATAAAGAAATGTACAAATATATGTGAATTACTGAATGCAGGTACTTGGATCAATTGGGCATAACATCAACATTCAACCACAAGGTTTTTTGTAGACAAGCTCTTATTGGTGGAAATTATGCTCTCCTTAATACTACATCATTCATACCAAATCCTGATTACTATGGGTATATACAATGTTTTTTGATTTGGTTCTATAATTATTTGGTACATTTTTTAAATTCCATTCATTCATTTACTTATTTGCGTATTTGTACAGTGCCCTTCTATGGCATCGTTTGATGGGGAAAAATGTGCTAGCTACCTCTCACGACGGCACTCCGTATCTGAGAGCATATTCTCATTGTTCCAAGCAAAAGGTAACGAGCCGAGCGTTGGGATGAGGAGCTGGGCACTCTTCTCCCTCCTTAATGATATTTTTTATATAACATTTTTTTAAATGATTTTATTTGCTAGTCCAGCCTGGGGTTGCTCTGCTTCTGATCAACATGTCAAACCATACCACCTTCAGAGTTACTGTTCTGAATGACCACAATCCATATCCAGGTGATTCGAAATTGAAATATTATGGCGAAGAACAACAAAGAGAAGAGTATCATTTGACTCCAAAAGATGGAAATATACAAAGTGATGTATTACTACTGAACGGAACTCCATTGAAACTCACAAGTTCTTTAGACATTCCAGCAATGGAACCCAAGCTTGTTACTTCTTCTTCTCCGATCACTATCGCTCCGGACTCCATTGTTTTTGTTGTCATTAGAAATTTAAGAGCTTCTGCATGTGCTTAAAAGGAGTGTATATATCATTTCCTTTTAGTTTCAGTTGTAAATAAAGGGTAGGAGTTGAGAGTTATTCCATTGTCGTTTTAGGAGTTGAGAGTTATTCCAGTGTCGTTTTAGGTCTTGCAATTCTATATATATAAAGGGATTTCTTTCTTTCTTCAATTTCTCACATTATTAGTTATGGTTTTGTTTTTTTTTTTTTTTTTTTTTTTTTTTTTCTCAGCATTATTAGTTATGGTTTTGTTTTTTTTTTTTTTTTTTTTTTTTTTTTTTTTTTTTTTTTTTTTTTTTTTTTTTTTTTTGACCATTCTGAGTTACTGGCAACACTACATTCAATGATAAACATTACAAGGTTTTCTTAATTTAGAGTGATTAGTATTAATCAACTAGTAATTAGAAAAGTCTATATTTGGTTAATTATATTGGGAAATAATTTTAGGCACTCTATATATGAATGTTCTATAACTTGAAGTTTCTAAGAATGGCCAACTGCAAACTTGCAATATATTACATTCTCGTATCATGGTTTTCTCTTACTACATTATCCCAAAAAGAGGATGTCAGAATTGTAGTGAAAGGGAAGGCTTCAATTGCTAAAACAGATGATAGTTTTGTGTGTGCAACATTGGATTGGTGGCCTAGCTCAAAATGTAACTATGATCAATGTCCATGGGGAGAGACTGGACTTTTCACTTTGGTATTTTCTTTTAATACTCTTTTTGTTTCTTTCTTTTGTTGTTTATTTATACTATTTTGTGAAATTTGCAGGATTTGGAAAACAAGATTTTGGCAAATGCTATTAAGGGTAAAGTAATAAATAAACAAGAATGTAATTATATTTCTTCATTAACACGTTAATGATTGATTGAATTTTCTTAAGAGAATTGATGAAATGTGATCAAAGGTATGTTATCAAGCTCTCAAGAACTAGAATTATTTAGATACTTTGATTCAAGGAAAAAAAAAATAATGATTTTTTTTCAGCATCATCTTCTTTTTATTATAAAGAATTCAATTTTTTATATTTAACTTGCTTGAATTCAATTTTTGTTTTTAAAAAAAGAAACAAAATCTTCAACATTCAAATTCTAACATGTCTAGCTATGTTGTTTTTTAACTTTTTGAAGTTTTTAATCCTTGTGAAATTTCAGCATTCAATCCATTAAGAATAAGGGTTGGAGGGTCATTGCAAGACGAATTGGTGTATAGAGTAGGAAAAACATCCAAAAGACCATGCCCCCAATTTCAACCAAGAAAAAATGGCTTGATGGGTTTCACTTCAGGTTGCCTCACCATGGAGAGATGGGATCAGTTACATGACTTCTTTAACCAAACAAGGTCTATATAAATTTACATACATATATACATAAATTACCATCTCAATAAATTTTTTTTTTTTAGCATTTACCATGATTTGGGTATTGCTGAGACTAATCGAAATTAAGTTACTTTCTCGAGCGATCTTCGAAACACACTTTACAAATTAAAAATGCATTTGGAATTTTATTTTATTTTATTTTGCAGAGCTAAAATTTCATTTGGATTAAATGCACTTATCGGGAGGAGAAAGGCCAATGCCACTGGCTCTATTCTTTGGGTTGGCAGTTGGAATCCACAAAATGCTCATGATCTTATGAAATACTCTATTTCAAAAGGATATGAGATTGACTCCTATGAATTAGGTAATCAACTAATTAATTAATTGTAACATAACAAAATAATTTTATGAAGTGCTACATGTCGTTTTTAGGAAATGAATTGTGCTCAAATGGGGTAGATGCAAAAGTGGAGGCAGGACAATATGCAAAAGACATGATTGTGCTTAAAAAACTTGTGCATGCATTATACCCAGATCCCAATACCCGACCAAAAGTGTTGGGTCCAGGTGGTTTTTTTGATCCAGAATGGTTTCAGACATATCTTCGAGATTCAGGTCCAAATGTTGTCAGTGGAATAACCCACCATATCTATAACCTTGGATCAGGTATATATACCATATTCTATAAACTTTGGGATCAGGTTATATATATTATATATTATATATGATATATAAAGAAATATTCTTTTATTGGTTTGTGTTTGTAGATAAGAAAGTTTCCTTGATTTAAAGAAACCCAAATGTAGCGTGCTTGATCCTGCCCTTAATTTTCAATATATAAAGAAATATTCTTTTTTGGTTGTGTTTGTAGATAAAAAGTTCCTGATTTAAAGACAAACATGTAGGTGCTGATCCTGCCCTTATTTTCAAGGTTCAGGATCCATATTTCCTAAATGGAATAGCAGAAGTATATGCAGAGGTCGCAGCAACTATCAAGAAATTTGGGCCCTGGGCAGAAGCATGGGTCGGAGAAGGAGGTGGAGCTTTTAATAGTGGAAGCCAGATTATCTCACATTCCTTTTCTAATGGATTTTGGTAATAATCACAACTTTATAACTAATTTAATCCATCCCATTTGTGTTGTCTCCCCATGAATTCCAAACTTTTTACCATCTTTAAATATTAATAGCGCAATATCCAAGGAGATAAAAAGGTTTTTGCATACGGATTGCAAAATATAAGATAACCAGTGATTACGAGGTTTTTGTGCCTTTTCATTTGAAATAGGTATTTGGACCAATTGGGCATTTCATCCATCTTCAACCATAAGGTTTTTTGCAGACAATCTCTTATTGGAGGAAATTATGGTCTTCTAAACACCACAACCTTCATCCCAAATCCTGATTATTATGGGTATAGACACTATGCTTATACTTTCTTTCATCCAATTTCTTTAAGCTTTAGTTAAAGATTTTTATTTAACCCTTCAACCTTTTTATTATGATGTGTTTCCTTTTGTATTAGTGCACTTCTATGGCACCGGCTGATGGGAAAGAATGTCCTTGCTACTTATCATGCTGGTTCACCATATTTGAAAGCATATTCTCATTGTTCAAAACAAAAGGTACATAGACTACTATTGCATATAAAACATGTTTGCTATGTTGGACGGAAATGGAAACAGGAAACGCATAAACGATGAGGGAAAACGATAGAGCGCCCTCAAGATATGTTTTCCGATACTGCTATACAATTACAACTTGTCTTTGCTCAATGGATATATAACACCAATGTTTTAGCACGAAGTCGAGAAGCTCATCACTCATGCTTCCAACCCAAGCTTTCAACCCCGGAAAGACTTCTCTGACACACACAATAACAATATCTCTACCACCCTCCCGACTTTCTGGGCATCGATTAACTTGCGATATTTAAAATATAATTTTACACGGAAAAACAGTATTTTGTACTGAAAAACGGACTTGTAGGAACGTTTCCAAAAAGCGGAAATGACCATGGCTAGAAGTTTCCATGCATCATAGCATGTTTGTTACTTTCTTTTCTTTATGGACTATTATGATTTCTTAACATGATTTCTTTTTGTTCCCCCATATCTTTCTTGCAGCCAGGCATTACTCTACTTCTTATGAACTTACAGAACTCCACTAGCTTTTATGTTATGGTTTCGGATGATGAAAATCCAGAACCAAATGGTTTAGAAGGTGCAAAACCGAGGGAAGAGTACCATTTGACTCCAAAAGATGGAGATGTCCTAAGTGATGTAGTGCTACTAAATGAAACTCCATTACTGCTTACAGATTCATTTGATATTCCTGCTATGAATCCTAAGTTTGTAGACCCTTTTTTGCCCATTATTGTTAAACCAAATTCAATAGTTTTTGTTGTCTTAAGAGATTTCAATGCCCTTGCTTGTTCTTAGAACATTTTGTTTCCTACACTCAATTACTTTGACTTCTTTTTTTTTTTTTTCCTTTGTGTTTTCTACTCATCCAGCGATCTTAACGGTGCACCTAATACGATATGTGGTAAAAAACGTAATGAACAGGAAAGGTGAAAAAAATTTACCGAACCATTTTCTTTTTACTGAATTTATTCTAAAAAATTTACTAACCATTTATCAATTTATCGAACCATTTTTATTGAATAATCTTGGTTTGGTTCTGTAAGTTAATAATTAGAGAAATTTGTCCACTTCTACTTATAATTCATGTTCATAAAATTTAGAGTTTTATTAAATTTGATTTTTCAAATATTGATTTAATAATTTTAAGATAGAAGATATGAAAATTTGTAAAATATATATTAACATTTATTTGAATTTTATATGATTAAAATTGAAATGGATTTGAATTTATATTACAAACGAAAAATTATAAAACAGTCTAACATCAACTTCAATTATCCTTTCATTTTCAAAATTTTTATCTATCTAAATGGATAGTTAAATAATTATTATTAGTTAGTTAATTAAACTTTTCTTAAATAGTTGTTCCAATGTTCCTGGTTCAAGAATAAATTCAGCCAAGACTTCTGGGCAACAAAAGAAAACCTTTTTCAATCCCCTTAATTGAAGATTTCCCAAACAAGATTCTTATCCACTTTTCAAGATAAAAGCCTATCAAAATTTTATTAAAAAAAAAAAAAAAAAAGCCAAACCTTTTCAATCCCCTTAATTGAAGATTTTTCCCAAAACAAGATTCTTATTCCACTTTTCAAAGATAAAAAGCCTATCAATAATTTTTTATTAAAAAAAAAAAAAAAAATGCCACGTTTAACCTTGGTAAAATATAAAAAAGACTGAAGCCATCAAGATTCAAAGACTCAAGAAACATAAAAGTAATACTTACTGACAATATTTTTATAAAAAAAAAAAAAAAAAAGCCACTTTTAACCTTTGGTTAAAATATAAAAGATGAAGCATCAAGATTCAAAGACTCAAGAAACATAAAGAATACTTTACTTGACAAAATTGGCCTTCAAGATTCAATCCAGGCTTTGCATGCAAAGCATATCAAACTTTACTTGCACACAATTCCTAGTAACAGCCTATCATCAACCATAGCAATCCTTCTCTATCTGTAGCCTTCTTCATCTTCAAAAATAAAACAGGTTCTCAAATCAAATGGATGCAACACAATTGTTCAGGAAGTCAACATTTTTTCTCTAACAATGGATTATTTGATCAAACAAACAAGCAGGTGAGTGTAGCAGTTCTGTTAAACGTATTTTTATTGTTCTTAAGCTTTGTTTAGTAAGTCGTAACGAAATGTAATGTAATCAAATGCATTTAGTGTAAACATATTACTGGAAATGTATTTGATTATATTATATTAGGTTTCATTACGATCCACTAATGGGAACCTTAGAATGTTGTCTTCATAAATCATTAGTACTAGTTGCTTCTACCAGGGTGAGACTTGCCAGACCGCAGCAAAGCACAGAAGGGCCTAGCAGTAGCAGAGAAAGAAGAATATCTTTCCAGAAAACCCCATCTTTCAAAGAAGGTAACTCTTTTAAGAGCTTGGCTGCCTGTGAGACTAAAATCAGCATTTCAGAAAAATTAACTCTAATAATGATGTTTTTGCCAAAGACATAGTGTTTTTCTTAATAGCAGTTACAAAGACTCAAAAATAAACATTTTGTGTTTTTTTATAACAGCAACTCAAACTACTCTACCAAACAGACCTTAAGATCTTTTATCTATTCTTCAAGCCACTAATAAATATGGAAATATGGTTATGTGTAGATTGTAATTCCTATTGTGGATTTTGCAGAAAAGAAGAGGTCTCAGAACTGGTTCAGGAGACAGATTTCTTGGCAGATGAATCAAGATTATGACTCCATTGGCTTGGAGCAAGCAACTGCAGTTGCTGCTGCTGCTTATGCCGTTTCAACAATGAAAGAATCAAGTAAAATCCCAGAAAAGAAAAAGATAAGCAGTGAAGGCCGTGAACCTTCATTTGCTCGAACCAAGAGCAGAAAGGAACCTGCGCCAACAGTTCCGAGCCCTGAACTGAAAAAGATAAAGGAAATCCCTGAACCGTCTTTTTCTCGAATCAAGAGCAGAAAGGAAGGTACAACAACATCAGTTCCAATAGAACTAGGTACAGTATCTATAGAATTTCCATTTCAGGTAATGTATTAAAATTTCATCTTCTGAAACAAAATATAATTAAATGGGTTTAACCAGGTGAAGATTCAGTGAGACATCCTGAAATCCCAGCTGTGAAAACACAGGAGAAGGTTGTGGATGCTCCACAAATAAAAAAAGGTCGTACGTTTGCAGAAGAGCAATCGAGCAGAACGGATGAGATTCAACCTGAAAGCGTAGAGCCAAAACCTGACAAACCTGCCATAAGACCTGAAGTGGCAATGCCAAAACCTGACCTGTCTGCAACTATTAAACCTGAAACCTCACCGGCCAAATTTGACGGGCCAACTTCAAGGAGACCTGGAATAGGAGGAGGAGGAACAGAAGCAGATATTTGGGAGAGAGATGAACTGGCGAGGATAAAAAAGAAGTACAGTTTTCATTTTGAGACTTTCTCTTTTCTTTTCATTCATGTTGTTCTATTAATAAAATTTTTTTCAGGTACGAGGAACTGAATGCTAGAATACTTTCCTGGGAGAATAAGAAGAAGGCAAAATCAAGAAGAAAATTGGACAAAATAGAGGTTAGATCCATTTTAGCTCTTTTCTTTTCCCTTATATGCAATGTAAACAAAATCATCGAAACTAACATGCCACAATCTATTCAATTTGCAGAGCGAATTGGAGAGGAAAAGAATAAAAGCCTTCGAACAATTTCATAGCGAGGTGGATGATATCAATCAGATTGCCGGAGGAGCAAGAGTGAAGGCAAAGGAAAGGCAAAGGAAAGAAGAGTTAAAGGCAAAGGAAAAGGCAAATCAAATTAGAAAAACAGGAAAAGCCCCTAATTCACGTTCCTGCTTCTAAATGTAATAATTATATGTACATAGCCTTATCTGGAAATCTTTCTTAGTCACAAAATGTAAACAAAAACATTTCTTACACAACTCTGTAAATTATGTTTCATTCATCACAATCTATGTAGAAACTTTCTTTAAAATAACGAGTTTGTAATTCAAGAAACTGGGAAGTTAAAAAGGAAATTAAATGACATCTAATTACCCAACTCGTTTATAAAGAAAAAGAGAAGGAATCCCTCAATCTTGCCATTTTAACAGGAATTAGTCCCATTTTATCAAGAATAATGTTTAGAAAAGAATATTATAGGAAACAAAGAGCACCATCATCATATTAGTCATTCTGGAATCTTGAATCTCAATTAAAATTAGGTACCAAGCCAAAACAAAAAAAAAGTTAATTAGGCTATAGTTAACCTTATAATCTTGGAGATAGATAGCTCCTTATGAGTCAAACCTGACTACAATTAAACAGATCGTACAAGATAGAAAGACATTAGTAGAACAGAAGAAAAGACATTAACAGAAAATTCAAGGGTACAAGATACTGTATTACTAGTAATATTTATCAACGTTTTTTCAAGAAGCCTTCAGCCATCTTCAAATAGTCACCATACCCACCCCCAGAATGGTGATCACCATCGGTTGAATGTGTGGTTGAATGTGTTGTGGTAGTGGCAGAGTGGCCGGAAGTGGTGGTGGTGGTGGACGAATGGGAGGAGTGATACTGATGAAGATAAGTCTCAGCCTTTTCTACGTACTTACCGAAACTCTTCTCCTCCAATTTGGCATAGTGCGAAGCAGCTCCAAGAAGATCAGCAGCAGCACCAGCAACCTTACCCTTGTCTACTTTGTCCGTTTCGTGGCTTAATGAAGCTTTGGCTGCTTCAGCCACTAATTTGGCACTTGAGAGCAGCTCAGAAGAAGACGGCGGTGATTGGTGGTGGTGGTGGTCGTCGTTCTTGGTGGGTTTGATATTGTGAGAAGCTGGTGATGAATCCATAGAGCTTGTTTTGGATTTGGATGAACTTCAATAATTGTAGATGGGGAAGAAAGAAAGATTAGGTTTTGTACAGATGGTTCTGACTCCTGACTTATTGCTGGGGGTTTCTACAGAGAAACTTCGTTTTCAGCGTTAATGGCGTGTTGGGTCCAAACCGTGGTGGGACTTTGTCTGCCACACGTTTCTTGTGATGAAATGCTTTCTCTTCATTTATTTATCTACTCCATTGTTGACCTTTATTGACGGTAGAGATGTTCATGGATATTGGATAGATTTGGATTTTGTAACATTGTATTTGACCCGCCAATAACAATATCCATCCGATTTTGTACATACCCGCTTTCGCTCCATCCTTTTAAGGGCAAATACGAGTTTATTCCTATTTTTTACGTAATTAACTGCGTTACTCTTACATTTTAAAATTTATATTATTTTATTTTTATATTTTGTTTCTCTTAATCAAATTATCTTTCCGTTCATTATTTGAGATTTAGTTCTTTAAAAGATTCAAACTATATGGATAAAATAATGTAATTTTTAAAAGATAAACACAATGTGATTAATTATGTCAAAATATAGAGAGAATAATATAATTTTTTTTTCTCTTTTAGTTCATATGTATACAGGATTAGTCCAATGATTCTGTTACCACTTAACGACTGACATATCAAATAATAGAGGGAAGATAATTTAATTTAACGAACCAAACTATAAGGATAAAATAATTAATTATGTTATGTAAAATGCAATTTAAACCAAACAAAATAATTAATTATGTTAAAACATAGGAATACAAATGTAATTTTTCCTTTCTTTAAAAGATTTTCCCGCTTTTTAAACCAATTAGATTTTATCTGATCGAAATAAACACGTGAGAACGTGATTTTTTTTTTTTAATATTGAGAAAAATGAATATGCACTTATCATTAAACTATGTTTTAGTGTGCGAAAATACGATTCTTGATTATCATTATTATTAATATTTTTACTAATTGCTTTCATAAATGTGTAGTTTTCTTTTTTAAAACATTATAAATATAATTTGTCAAGAGAAATATATTTTTTAAAATATTAATTAGCTGATGAGTGATTGAAACAGCAAATCATTTAAAAAAATCAGCGAATAACCATAAACCCTAGAATGAAATCGATTTCGTATCTATTGTGTACTGATCACCTGAATGCTATTAGAAGGCATATACCTCATATTTAAAAAATCAGATTAATTATCTGTTAAATCAAACTAAGGTTAAACAAGGTTGTTAAAAATGGTGAAGATGACAACATTTTATAGTGGTGTCATCAGGATGTCCACATAATGACATGACATGACATTTGTTTACTTCGGTTCTATAAAGATGATTACCTTTTTTATGTATGGTATATTGGTATGGGATCCTAATCCTATTATCATTCATATAACAGTTGGTATCACCCCAAAGGTGTGGCACCTGAGAACACAGGTGGATTGGCTTGCCTATCTTTGGCTCATGGCTAATGCACTCTGTGTTCTCAGGTCACCCCTTTGGGGCACCCTGTTTACATGACATTAAATGTTTTATTTAATATTTTATTTGTATTTATAATTTCTGTTTGATTGGGTTTAACTAGTTTTTTTTTTTTTTTTATAATCACGAGATGTAATCCATTCAAATAGAGCGTAAAATTCTTTTTATCCTTTCAGCAAAATGCATTTACAGAAGTTGAACTTTGCTTTCGGAATCTATTTTTTTTAGCTAGTCTTCTCTGGGATTTAGTGGATCCAGGAATAAAGCTATATAAGAACTAAATAATTTTAATATGCTTATATTATTGTATTATTATAAATTTCTATATTTTTAAATTTTAATTTATAGTTATAAATTTTCTTGTAATTTTATTTATATAATATATTTTGTACCGTAACAGGGAAAAAAAAATGGAATTCAAACATTTATTTGGAATTTGGATTCGTTAGATTGTGTTCAAATTTTTCCCAATAATTTTTTCTTTTAAAAAATGCGAAATAGTATAAAATTATAGACCCTCTCCTTCCCTGTTATTCTGGAACTTGCGTGTCTGTAACCCGAGAAGCTCCAAGACCCTTAAGCCCTACTACCAAAAAATTGACGATTGAGATGGAGATTGATACCGCTAAGCAACCACAACACCAAATTAAAGACAAAGACCTCTTCAAGGCCGCCGAGTCAGGTGATGCTTCCACATTCAAAGCTCTTTCACCGAAACATCTCTCCAACGCGCTCTCTCTACTAAACGACGACGGCCGCTCCCTCCTTCACGTCGCCGCTTCTTCCGGTCACCCCGAGGTATATGAATATCAACACTCGCTTAACTTTTATTTTTTAGTTAATTCCTTTTCGTTTATATTTTAATCTGCATTTGGTTGTGTTAATGGAATTAGGTGGTGAAAATACTATCTGATGCGGATGAATCGAAAAGGGTAGTGAACAACAAGGATGAGGAAGGTTGGGCTCCTCTTCACTCTGCAGCCAGCATTGGGAATCTGGAAATTGTGGAGATTCTTTTAAATAGAGGTATATAATTTAGTTAATTTTTCTCTGTTATTCGGTTGGTACAAATTACTTTGAAGGTTGAATTCATTTACAAATGATAGAATTCGGTTCCATAAAATTGAATGCACGGGAGTGAAATAAGTAGTTTCATTCATGCCAAACATGAAATGATGAAAACATGAACTTCTAAATGACTTGTGCATAATTTTGTGGAATTCTTTTACACAAACAATTTGCTTCACTATCCAATAACCATTTAACACTTGAATTATGTTGTATGTACAATTGAGGCTTTAGTACTGTTAATTGCAGCAATTGGAGCTGTTTAATTTTGAGGTCCTAATTAAATAACCATTTTGATGAGACTTCCAGTGAAAGTGGTGTCATTATTGATCATTCCTTTATTCTGGAGTGCTTCATCTATGATTTAAATTGTACCTCTTGTTAAGGAAGGATTTTATTAGATTTGATTGGTAAAGTTACGTGTTTCATTGCATTGGATGCTTTCTACTAAACATCTGTATTCGTTTGGTAACTGTTTTGCCTTTGAAATTCCGCAGAAAGCAAGATAAGATTTCTTACATATCTGATTTGATGTCATCCTCTTTTAGTAATGCAGCTATTTACTGATATTCCAAATGTGTTTCATTGCATTTTATATATTGAAAGCTTTTACTGAAAATCTCTATTTGTTTGGTAACTGTTTTGCTGTTGAAATTTCATAGAATGCAAGAAGATTTATGACATATCTGATTTGATGCCAATCGCTCTTTTGGTCATGCAGCTATTCACTGATGTTCGAAATATAATTAATTAACCTTGAAATGTTTATGTAGGAGCTGATATTAATTTGAAAAATGACGGGGGTCGTACTGCTCTTCATTATGCTGCAAGCAAGGGACAGTTGAAGATTGCTGAACTCCTCATATCACATGGTGCAAAGATTAATCTGAAGGACAAGGCTTGTGATTCGCTCAACTGTACTTTATCTTATATTAGTAATTTTGTTTTCAATCTTACATCCCATTCCCATGCGTTTTGTATTGTTGCTAAGTTGGTTCAAAGCCACACGCTTTCTTTTGAAATATGCAATTATATCACTATGTTATGAAACTATTATTCAGGTTGGTTGTACCCCATTGCATCGGGCAGCTAGCACTGGGAACTCCGAATTATGTGAACTTCTAATTGAGGAAGGAGCGGATGTTGATGCTACTGATAAAGCTGGTGAAACTCCTCTCATGAATGCAGTAATTTGCCATAACAAAGAGGCAAGTTTGCTCAGAATTGCTTTGGAAAGAGATGCTCATTTTCTAGTTGAACATCCATACAGCAACCCTCCATGGCTCTCAACTGAATTATGCCTCTGAATTCACCTCTTTTTGATTTGTACATGTCTCTTTTGGCTTCCATAGTTTAGATTGGGAATACTACACTTCCATTTTGTTCATGTCTTCATTTTATATTACTGCTCTGTTTCGTATTAGATTTTACTATATTGGTAAATTTGAAAATAAAAGTTGATAGTTTTGAGAATTAAATTGGTGAGAAGAAACATTAGTTGATCTATATTTCATATTCGCTGTCGCCATTTTAAGCTTTCTAAGCTTCAAGTGAACAATTTTGTTCCTAGATATAAGAATGGTTCTGTCGTCCATCCTAGCCATTATGTACAGAAAAGGGCTGGGTTATGGGATGGATTTTCCCTGCTACATTGGATAACCACCTCACCTGCCTCATATAGCTGCTTATAGATATTTTCTGGGTAGAATAGACACTGTTTTCTTCCATGCATATATTGTGTGTAAATGTATCAAAACTTGTCAATGTTTGACTTGTTGCCATCCCAATTAATGGAGTAAGCTCGGCACGCCTAGAGAAATTCTAAATGCAGTTCATGGGTTTGAGAGTCGTTCCTTATACCCAAGAGAGAGAATAAAGAGACGAGAAATTTAATTGAAATGGTTGGGAACAATCTTGTGTGTTTTCTTTTAATTGCAAACTAAGGTTGAACTTAACTTGGCCAATTGATTTATAGATTTGATTTTATAATTCAATGTGCATATATCGATTATGTTTATCTGAACAAAGGTCAAACTATGATAAACATGTAAAAAATGTTACCAATGTTGACTTGCTATGAAAATGGTGATTTAATTAACTGTATTGGTTTGTGTTTGCCTGGCAGGTCGCTTTCCTTCTTATAAGACATGGGGCAGATGTAGATGTGGAAGACAAGGAAGGTTACACTGTGCTCGGTCGGGCATCTGATGACTTTAGGCCAATGCTGATTGATGCTGCCAAGGCTATGCTTGAAGGATGAAATCTTAACTTTTACAAAGTTAGACGGTAATTTAGTTAAGTGGTTGAATTATCAATTTCGTTTGGTTGAGTTTTTTGCTTAGTGTTTTTATCTCCTCATAATGCTTGGTAGGAGAAAATTGCCATGTGGTAGTTGGTGTTTGTAGCCAGATTTTACCGTTACTTTAGTGTTTGCTTTTCCTGATAGATTTAATTTCTTTGCTTCTATGCTGATCGAAATCGAAATAATAGGTTAACGTATCTAATCATTTATGTTTCCAGTTTGAGTTCTGTACAAGTACTTGTGTTGAAGATGGCGGTGGCTTACGACTAGAGACGACAGATGGGTTTGGGTTCCTGAAAAGTTTTTTCTATTTAAATATTTCCATGGTCGTTGACTGTTCTTATTGTTTTTAATTTGTTTATTGGTCCCATAAAGGTATTTCCGTTTCTCCGTAACAGAAAAAATATTACTTTAAACATCCGTCAGAAACTACAGAATAATAAGAACGATAAAAATGAACTAATAAATTTTGTAAAGCTTCAGGGACTTGAAAATAATTTTCTCAAATTTTTTATTGATCCTTATTTTGAAAATTTTTTCTATTAAAACTTGTTGTACGGGCCCCCTTTATCTAAAAATTTTAGTGGAGCTGAGAAGTATGATAGTAATTCATTTTACAAATATTTTGTATTTCTTAGTTGGAAAAAATGGGTTTTTTTATGTTTGTTTTTCAACTTATCCATTATCTGATATCTCATCCATCTTTCGGTCCAGTTGTAGACTATCAGTCATCATGTAGCTCTGCTCGCCAACTCTGGTGTTGGCCATCTTACACCTTTCCTTCGACTCCCTATCTCTCTTATTCACCATCACTGTCATGTTACTCTTATAATCTGCCACCCAATCCTCACAATCGCAGAGTCTGAACTTATCTCCCGTTTCTTCTCAGCTTTTCCTCAAGTTCAAAACAAACAACTTCATCTTCCTCCTCCTGATCCTAATCACTCCACCTCCAACGAAACTTTTTCTTTCCATTGGGAAGCTGCTTGTCAATCAGTTCTTCATCTTCTCCCCTCACTCCTGTCCTCATTGTCTCCATCTCCCTCTCTTCTTCTCTCCGACATGACTTTAATTTCCTCCGCTGTTCCAGTTACTCAAAACTTGAATCTCCCTCTTCACGTTCTCTTCACTTATAGTGCAAAAATGTTCTCTCTTTGCATACTATCCCATAGCTACTGCTACTGCTACTGTTGACTTTTCACAAACAGGTGGTATTATTGAAATTCCAGGTGCTTTATCAATGCCGAAATCAGTCATTCCTTCTTTACTTCTAGCCCCAGATAGCATCTTTGCTTCAATTTTCATGGAAGGTGCACAGAACATTACAAAATCGAGTGGAATTTTAATAACACATTTGAAATATTAGAATTAGACACACTAAGTGCACTTAAGAGTGGGAAAGTAGTAACTGGGTTGCCTCCAGTTTTTACTATAGGACTTGCACCATGCGATTTCTAAGTGGAATTGAGAGTTCGCTAATAATCAAATGGCTTGATGATCAATTACAAGAATCAGTTGTGTATGTCAATTTTGGTAGCAAAGCAGTAATGTCAAGGGTGCAAGTAACAGAAATAGGGAATGGATTAATAGCAAGTGGGTAGTGAAGGATAAAGAAGTTGATAAAGAAGATGTAGAGAGTTTGAGTAAAGTAGTTGGAAATGATTGAATGGAGAAGCTTAAGAAGAAAGGATAAGTAGTTAAAGAATGGGTCAAACAAGGGGAGATTCTTGGGCATAAAGCAATAGGTGGGTTTTTGAGCCATTGTGGGTGGAGGCAGCATGGCATGGGGTGAGGCTTCTGGCATGGTTATCAAGTGGAGATCAGAAGGTGAATACAGAGGTGGTGGAGAAGAGTGGATTGGGGTTAGGGACAAGAAGTTGGGGATGGATTGGTGAAAGGAGAGGAGATTGCAGAGAGAATAAAGAAATGATGGGAAATGAAGATTTGAAATTGAAAGCTTTAGAAATTAGGGAAGAGGCAAGGAAAGCTGTTGATGATGGTGGTAATTCTAAGAATGCTGTAATTGAAGTTATTGAGAAATGGAAGAATATGTAGCTTTAATTAAGTTCTAATTTTGTTAACTTGACTATTTGAATAATTTAATTTTTAATGAATTTGAATAATTTTTAATTTTTAATATTAGGTAGGAAAATTAAATAATTATTTTTTTAAAAGGTTCAAACGCTGAAGAGTGTTTATGAAAAATATATCAACACACATTTAAAAAATAAAACACAAATTATATAGAGATTGTAATTATTGTGGAAAAATAAAACACAAGATATCAAGTACTAAATTTTAAAAATCGACTAAAATTATGGCAAGGATCAAAATATTTTTTTTTTTACTTTTCTTTTTTTTTTTTTTTTTTTTTTTTTTTTGTTTTTTTTTTTTTTTTATCAATTTGGCATATTTATAAAAGGAGGTTAGGTTTGTGTTTGTTGTGGACTTGTGTGGGCCAATTATTCAGTTTTTTTTTTTTTTTTTTTTTTTTTATCATTTGGCATATTAATAAAAGGAGGTAGGTTTGTGTTTGTTGTGGACTTGTGTGGCCATTATTCAGTTTTTACCCGTTGACGAGCAGGGCAGCACTTTATAAATGGTGCATGCCCGTCCCGTGTTAATTAATTTTCTTTGTTTCTTTTTTTTTTTTCACTAGTTTTTTAACGTGACGTTATTTATTTTCATCCTATCACTTGTGGTTTAATTTTATTTATTACATTTTAAAAAAATAGTTTATTTTAAAATATTTATCACATTTATGGTTTTAATAAGTAATAAATCTTTTTTCATATTTATCCGTTGTATATACCAATAATTATTATTTTAATTTAATAATTTTTTTAGAGAAATAATATTAAATTAAAGTTAATATAGGGTATTTTAACCTATAGAAATTTAATAGTTTTTTTAAACACATGAAATTTCAAATGTGATAACAAATATTATGAAACAGAGGTAGTACTGTATTTTGAAATAATGTTGTGCCAATAGAATCAAAATCATTTTGATTAAAGTGTTCCATAATTTAAAAACCTAACAGTTAATTTTAGCAATAGAAGTCCATTTGTTAATTATTTTTTTTAAAGAGAGTTAATATGTTAATTTAACTATAACTCGGGATTAAAGATTTATTATTTCCTTAAATCTTTACCTTACCACATTATTCCAGCATGTTAAAAAAAAAAAAAAGAAAAAGAGAAAAAAAGAGTAGACAATTAATACTATCGTCTTTTTATCTTAAAGAACTTTAGCCTCCCAATGAAATGACAATGGAGCACTGATTGCACCATGACACACCGGCTATGCCCATAATTGTATTTATATATATATATATGTGTATATATATATATTATAATGCAAAAACAAAAATATACTTGTTTGTACTACTTAAAATAAAAATAACAATATGGGCACTAATTATATGCAGTTGGTGAAGGGAAATAATTATTTATATTTTCTGTATCGTAATGGAAAATTTTTATTTATACTCTACATTGGGATCCATACATATATGAAACCAATATCTAATTATCATTTATTATCTCCAATTTGTTCTTATTTCCCGAGAAAAAACATAGATAACAATTTTTGTATGCCAAATGTGTAATTTCCATTATTACTTGCATGATATCACCTCACCTCATATGTGTCTATATATAATCTATAGACAACCTTGTTCTATATCCGAACGAAAGCTTTTCCATTACTACTCAATAGTAATTTCCATAGTTGGGTAGACATGTCAAGTTCTAACGGTACCCATCGTCTTCCTCAAGTAGTTCTCCTGACCAGCTCTGGTGCAGGTCATCTTACACCTTTACTTCGCGTAGCTGCGTTACTTCTTCACCATAACTGTCAAATAACTCTAATCACTTGCCATCCTATTCTCACACTCGCCGAGTCTCAACTCATCTCTAAGTTCCTATCAGCTTTTCCTCAAGTCAAAGAAAAACAACTTCATCTTCTTCCTCATGATCCCAATAATGTCAATTCTAATATTGACGACCCTTTTCTTCTCCAATGGGAAACTGCTCGTCGTTCAGTTCGTCATCTTCTCTTGCCACTTCTCTTGTCATTATCTCCATTTCCTTCTGCTCTTGTCTCTGACGTAACCTTATTTCCCTCCGTCATTGAAATTACTGAAAATTTAAATCTTCCTGTCTATGTTCAATTCCCTTCTTGTGCAAGAATGTTCTGTCTTTTCGCTTATTTTAGTGCATACATGACTTCTTCTTCCACTAGATCTAATGATAATAATGATGTTATTGAAATTCCAGGCGTTTGGCCAATGGCTAAATCGACAGTCCCTCCTTTACTTCTCGAACCGAAAAGCATCTTCTACTCCATTTTCATGGAAGATAGTAAGAAGATCCCTAAGTTGAGCGGCATTTTTATTCCAACCCTTGAAACGTTAGAATCAGAGTCATTAACTGCTCTTAATAGCGGTAAAGTAGTTGATGGGGTGCCGCCTATATATCCTATTGTACTTATGCCATGTGATTTTGAGAAACATCTTCAAGAAGAAAACAAAATAATGAAATGGCTTGACAATCAATCTCCAAGGTCAGTAGTGTATATGAATTTTGGCAGCAAAGCAGCCATGTCAAGAAAGCAGATAAAAGAGATAGGAAACGGATTAATAACGAGTGCGTATCCGTTTCTTTGGGTAGTAAAAGATAAAGAACTTGATAAAGAAGATACAGAGAGCTTGAATGAGGTTCTTGGAAATGATTTAATGGAGAAGCTAGAAAGAAAAGGGTTAGTAGTTAAAGAATGGGTTAACCAAGGAGAGATTCTTGGTCACGAAGCAGTAGGTGGATTTGTAAGTCATTGTGGGTGGAACTCAGTGCTTGAGGCTATATGGCATGGCGTGCGCTTGCTTGCATGGCCTCCAAAAGGAGATCAGAAGGTAAATGCAGAGGCAATCGACAGGGGTGGGTTTGGTTTGTGGACAAGAACTTGGGGATGGGCTGCAGAGATGGTAGTGAAAGGGGAAGAACTTGGGGAAAGAATTAAAGAAATGATGACAAGTGAAGAGTTGAAATTGAGAGCTGAACACATTAGGGTGGAGGCAAGGAAGGCTGTCGGTGATGGTGGTAGCAATGAAATTGTGATCAAGGAACTAATTGAGAAATGGAAGTAAATGTATTAGGGTTCATGAACTGAGTTTTCTCCGGTAATTAGTATTACTAAATAAATCACTATGTTATGTTGAATCTTTATGTTATTTATTTTTAGTTGCTTGGAAAAAGAGAATTGAAATCTGAACTTTTATTGTCAGACTGTATATGTATTTACCAATAAATTATATTTTGATGTACATATTAAATTTTATTTAAATATGATTTAAATCTATTTAAAATTAGAATCAGCAAATATTTCTTTCACTTTCCAATTGCATGAATAATATGTCGTCGTCTTCTTCAATTAATTAGTACGGCACCCATATTAATTATTGACCCTTACAGACATTGGAAGATTAATATGCAGGGACTCATATTAGTAAAAATAGAAAAAAGTTTAGAGGGTTTGAAAATGCGATTTCTCTGAGAAAAAAAATCATTTAGATGGGTGATGACAAATGACACCTCCCGCACGAGAAAGCAATTATTTAAAGAAGAAAGAAAAAGTAAAAGGCATGGACGAGAGTCTTACTGAAGCTCTGCAGGCTATTAATGGCACTGGTGGATTTCAATATTTGTTCAGTACACGCTTAAAAAGACATCAGAATGCCACTTGAATGTATCTGTGGTATAGAAAAAAGAAAAAAGAAAACTTATACCTTTTCTTTAACCAAACACTAATAATATCTTATATATCTAAAATTATAGTCATTTTTCTCTGAAAGTATAATTAATTTCTAAATTATTTAATAATTAATATACTATCAATAATTTTTCACTTTGATTCTTTATTGAATGTGACGTTTAATATTAACTAGTTTTTACTATACTTGTTATTCATATTTATTCAATTTTTTATATCATTTTTACTTATTATTTATACTTATTTTTATTTTTAATATTAAATATTGATTGTAATTTTTATTTTATATTATTTAGATTTTATAATGTTAACTTGTTATTCAATTTATTCAATTTTTTTAATAAATCTCATTTTTACTTTATTATTTAATTACTTATTTTTATTTTAATATTAAATATTGGGATTGTAATTTTTATTTTATTATTATTTAGATTTTTATAAAAATGTTAAAATATTTTATATAAAATTAATGTGATATAACCGAGTAATTAATAAACAGGAGTGTATATATACACCACATTTCAGCTAATTTCTTATATTGTCGTGTGTTTAAATTTTTATTATAACTTTAATTATTAAATCTAATAAAAATATGTTTCAATAATATAAAGATACATAAATAATAAAAAATAAAATATTAAACATATATTTTAAAATTTAAAATTTTTTAATTGTTCTTACACACACATAATTCATTTAATTTAAAAAATAAATATTAAAAAGTAAAAATTTAAGATTTGAAAAGATCCATGTATATTCTATTGAAAATTTGTTTAGAAAAAATCTACTTTTTTTATCTCATCTCATAAAATAAATATTTTAAATTAATAATAAAAAAATAGAATCAAATATTTAAAAAATAAATTTATAAAATAAAAATAAAATTTTTCAAATTGTCTCTTTACAATATATATTTATTAAAAATGTTTTTTTAAAAGAAAATATCATGTGCTATAACTTAAATATCCATGCACAATTACATTTTTTAGAAAGTAAATTTATTTTGATTTTTCTTATTAAAAAATTCCTTAAATTATTTTTTCATGATTTTCTTATATATTTGAAATATTTTACATTGTTTGATATAATAATTTTTAATTTAGACGAATGTTAAAAAAAAAGTTAGGGACATACTCCAGTAAATTGGCAATAAAATAAATAATTACATATATTATAAAAAAATAAATTAAAACAAATACTTCATGGATACCGTTAAAGATAATATAGATTATTGATTAATTTATAATTAAATTCATAAATGAAGATTGAGAAATAGTCGAATGTAACCAAGGATTAACCACATGTAAATTTTTTAGATTCAATTATAAAAAATTATGAAAGTCATTGGATTAATAATCTTTTATCAATAATTTTATCAATTATTAAAAATTTATGTTTATTATAATGAAGAGTGAAGAAGTCTGCCGAGTTCGAGTCCCCCTCTCGGAACCCACATGTGTTTTCATCAATTTGGTGAGTTAAACGGGAAGAGTTATCCCATATTTTATAGCCCGTTAAGTATTATTTTCCACCTATAAAAACTTCAAGTGAAATTTAAAAAATTATGGTCCATTGTAAACTCAAATATTATCTATGATTTTTAAATTTTCAACTAAATTTTATTAAATAATTTATATTTCCCATAATTTTACTTTTATTATAATAGGAGTATTGATTAGATATCGGAATATATTTTAAAAAAAAAAACTAAATAATGAAGTTTTTCTTTCTGCACTTCTATCTTAACCGTGCCGACCCTATATTTTGCAATGTCCCTAATCAAGTACCTTTATTCTAATCTTTTTTTTTTTTTTTCCAAACCTTTAACGGTGACAGATCATCCAGCTCTTGGCCTTTTGGAGTCATCTCCATCACTCCTTGGTTGGGTTCTGACAGTTTAAATCGTTGGTCTCCTCCACCAAACAACACTTGGCATTAAATTCTTGGACAAACTTCCAACATCAATCGTAAACCCACCAGTATTTCCAACCCGCATGACCTATCAGCCCTCTTTTTTTTTTTTTTTTTTGTCCTTAATAAAATTTTAAGTTTCTTTTATATATTATAGCCATTAATATTGAGTTTTTTTTAATTTTATCTAAAATTAATTAATAATCCTTAATTCAATATATAAAAAAATCATTTTTTTTTTTTTTTTTTTTTTTTTGTCCTTAATAAAATTTTAAGTTTCTTTATATATTATAGCCATTAATATTGAGTTTTTTTTATTTTATCTTAAAAATTAATTAATAATCTTAATTCAATATATAAAAAATCATTAAAATAACAAGTCATTTATATGTTTAAATTAAATTATTAGGTAAAATTCGGGATAAAACATTATTTCTTTCCGTAAGAGCAAAATCAGAAAAATTGTTGTATTTAATTTTTTTTAGTTGACTAATTAAATAATCAACAAAATCTTAATATAATGATTATTTAGTTGAAAGGCAATAAAATGATAGCCTAACCCCTTAATCATTATCTCCAATTGAAATAATTTAAATAAAAATTTTAGTCAGTAAAAGATAATTTATTTAAATTAAAAAGTATTTTATTATAATTTGATTAATTTAATTTTTTTACGACTGAATAAAAATATTAATAAAAAGATTTAAGCAAATCATTCAAGAACTTCGACGGAAGTAATTAATAGTTGAATAAATTACCCTTTCACTCTAGTAATTAATTAAGAGAGATACGTTTAGAATAGATATCTAATATTCATTTTGTTTTCAAATGTTGTCACATTTTGGTATTTCATATCTTTTAAGAAGATGATTCGATTTTTTTAAGTTATACAGACTCCGTTCCATAATACTTGTCACATTTCAGAAAATAGTTATCTAGTAAAGATTAAATCCAAGAGCTCTTTTCACATGTCCGGCCTGCATTGCTAAATGAGCACGCGTGGAATGGATAAAGTATTTAAATTAAATAATTGGCTTATTTGTTTAGAATAAATAATTGGCTTATTAATTCACTTGGAATTTGCACAACTTCTTCTACATCCATGAAAAAACAAATCACAGCTTTTTTTTTTCATTATTCCATCTTTGGATGGACGAATATATAATTTAACTCCTGATATTTAAGGAAAAAAAGAATTATGATATTTTAAATTTTAAAATCAATGTACTCTGAATTTCACTTTAGTAATAATCTCACACTTCTTTACGTTAAAAATAATAATTTTTAAGGTTTTTGTCATTTGTAAACAACATATTAATTTGACACGTGGTTAATATAACTTCTGAAATAATAATTTTTATATTTTTAACTATATAATAAGTGTTTAATCTATTTAATTTTATAATTAAGTGGAAGTGTTCAACAGAGTAAACACAAAAGTTTGGGGTGGCCATAAAATTTTTCCGTGAAAAATATATGGACAGTGAATTTATGTATTGAGGTTCTTTTTATATTTTTTTAGATATTGAAACGGGAAATTATAGTTGTTGAGATTCCAACCATCATGAATTTTATTTTCACCATACTAAGGCGTTGATTTAGATATCATTTAATCAAATGGGGCAAAGCATCTCCATTTCTGTCTTTATTATCACACAATTTACAAGATCCAAATTTTGAGAAAGAAAGCAAATTTAAAGAAAATTGAAATTGCATGATTCTGTAGCTTTGATGGATTATACATATATACCCTTTGATTTATTTAATTCTTGCTCGAATTAAATAATGAAAAATTATAATATATGTGGTTCTTTCAAAAGAAAGATTAATAATTAAAATTCATAAATTAATTATTTTTTTAGAAAATGGATTTGATTACTATTATTAATTAAAATATTTTCTGAAATATTAAATGGGATGGAAAGGAACAAATATAAAACTAACTAGGAAAATTATATAAGTACAATTAATGAAGGCAAAAAGAGATAAATTAAAGAAGACAAAATTGAAAAGAAAAAATCATATCATCTTTTCTTTTCTGCATCCAAGAGACATACATGCAAATCACTCAACTTGCATGATGCATGCATAGCATGCATGATCCATAACAGAAAGATCACAAAATTAAAACAAAAAGAAAAGAAAAGAAAATCCCCAATTTCTCCTCTCTGAGAGAAAAACAAAATTCTCTCTCTTTGATCTCCAAAGCACAAAAACCATAAATATGTACTCCATATTATATATATGTATAATATTAACTTAATCACATACCATAACGAACATCAGTATTAAATTTGTTCTTGATCCACTTGAAGCTGCTCCTTACACTGGATTTGAGCTTCCCTTCCACTGTAAACACGTTATAAGAAGCTATCCTCTTCTTTCTTTTTAGCTCCGGATCGTTGGATGATGCAAACCCATTTCCTTTATGGTACGGCCCGTTGAAGCTATATGAATTCGACCCGA